AATCATATTTTAGATAAAGATCGATGTGATCGCAAAAAGACAATGCCGAAAACCAAGATAACTACAGTGAACTAAAAAACGCAGAATTTTAGGTGTACATTAACTAACAAGCGGTCAAGTTATGTTCAGTCCTGTACTTAATTATATTATGAGGATATTCCTCAAATAGTTGGTATTCAGAAAGAAAAGACAAAAGAACAGAAGTAACCTTGTGGCGGATACTGCTGAGGTGGAGTGCTTTGGGCATACTGCGCATACTGTTGTTGAGGTGGGTATCCCGGTTGCGGAGCATATGACTGTTGCTGCTGCGAAGGAATCGGACCTTGCTGATACTGCTGGGGCTGCGCTGGCTGCACCGGAGGCTGTGGCTGTTGCACCGAATGCTGCTGTGGTGGCAAGGACATAACCTGCGGAGCGGTGACCGCGGCTGCTGAGGGCCCTAACTGCTGCGCTAGTGGCTGTGGCTGCATAGATGGTACAGGAGGTTGAGGAGGTTGCTGCGGCTGTGGCTGCGGCTGTTGTTGCACCTGTGGTTGTACTGCAGCCATGCTTGGCTGCACCGTGTGAACTGGAACCGCAGGTGGGGCTGAAACTGGTGGCTGTGCGCCATGTGACAGTGTAACAGGTGCTGGCTGTGGTGGTTGTGGTGGCGGTGGCAGCGGTTCCGAAGTGTCCATTTTCTGTGCTGAAAAACCACCACCGTTGTGTTGCACTGGCGAAAAACACAGTGAGAAGATAACTCTCCCCAAGCATTCAGGATCTCGAAAAAGCCTGGGACTGATTTTCGCATCAAGATAACTGTACGATTATTTGGAGCACGAAGTTTACAACGACGCAACCTCAAGTTCAGTTTTAAAATTTCCAAAGTTTTAGTCATCAAAGCAATGATATTCGAAACTTTTTTGAATGCAACCTAATATCTGAACTTCGAATTTTTTTGAACCCAATTTCCAAATCTCATTTTTCAAGACACAGTTATTCAAATCACCGCGTCCCCGAAACTTGGAATTCGGAATCATTCGGTAAAGTCATGAAACACAAGCTTAGAAAATACGCGAACTGCAACACCTGCATGGTACAAACAAAACTGGAAAGGACACCACAGATACGCTGTGGAAAAAATAGACTTACCACTCTCTTGCGACGCCTGTCCTTGCAGTGGAGGTGCAGCCGAAGGCGCAGCAGTGATGCCAGAGGATACCGCAGAAGTCGCACCAGTATAAGGTCCAGGTGTCTGTACTTGTTGCTGAGGTTGAGGGGGGCCGGAAACTTCAAAACCTGGTGGCAAATTCGGTGGAAGATGCCCTAAAATCCAAACCATCGTTATCAGTTTTAAACTATAAAAGGAGCAAACCGATGCAAATGATGGCGGATTTCAAAATTCTGTAATCGGAATGTAAGGCACAAAACTGGACTTAACTTTGTCTCCCACCCACCTCGCTCTTACCCCTCCAGCTCTTACTACTTCATCTTTCGTCATAAAAATCTGTCCTCTTCCGATGGGAAAAAGACGAATGTTAGAAAGTCAGAATACCGAAAACATTAAAAAAAATCACCGCCCAAACCACAATAAAAAATAAATCGATTCTATACATTATAACCAATGAATATTTACTATTACTCTCAGTCCATTGGTAATAAGGACCTCCGAAGCTACCACGCTGTTATAACACGCTCTGTGCAACTGAACCTCCTGCACAAAGCTATAGATTGCAAAAGGCTAACAGCATCTCTCTTCGCCTCTAAGGACACCATCTCAAATGCCATCCGAGAATTCTTCGCGAGTATAATTCAGGGATATCACAAAAACAAAAACTGGCCAACGCACGGGCTGCCCGTGCGAAGATGCGTTTTTTGCAGAGTTCCCCGCAGTTT